CGTAACGATGAACTAGCTAACCTCACATTGCGAGAAAAACTCCGCCAAACTCGAGAAATAGGATATTACTGACCCATTACTGCGGAACCACCAAAAGCACACATTCATGTCATATTCGTATCCAGAAGAAAAAAAAGGGGTAGGTACAATTCTTTCCATCATTCATTCTTGGCTTGGTCTTAATTTAATACGGAGAACTCTTCTCTTATAGTAAAGGTTTTGACTGGATCCGAGGAGTATTTATATATCGTCGTCGACGACTCTAATCTCTATATTGAGGGAAAGTACACCGTCGGCGAAATTGAGCACTTGGACGTTTATGACTACAAGAGAGAATCTTTACGCTTCGACCAGCTTCGGATTGATTATGGACGCCTTCTCAGAATAATTCAGGGTGAACGTACATTGGGTGAACGTCCAATCGTTGTTGGTTCTATTTCGCCAAGTGATACACTGTGGCAGCGGATTCGAGATGAAGGCTTCACAGTAAAGACGTACCCTCGGAATGCTGAGAGCCATGAGAAAAGGGTCGATATGAAAATTGGACAATATATAAATGGAATCTTCTACAATAAGGTGCCTAGTGTGTTGGCACTGGTCGATGGTGATGATAAATTCCAACCTGTATTACAGGACGCCGTTCAGTTAGGGTGGACGGTCGAGATATACTTTGGAATTCTGGTAAGAAACTGTTGTCGTGATCGCTTGTTCTAGTTCCTTAAGATCTCTTGAAACGAGTTTGTGGCACAGATATCTTTTGCGCTATAGCCAACTCACTTGAGCTATTGCGCGACGAAAATACCCCTCCCTCTGCATGATCATCAGGTTATTTGCTTGACCTTGAGCTAGACGAACCTAAACCGAAGGGCCCGGTTTTCCAATCTCTGGGCAATTTCTACAAAACTCTCTCATATGGCTACGGAGCTGAAGGTAATACTAAAGCTACGGACCTGGCGGAACCCCAAAGAAAATGGGAATCCTTGAGCTCACTGGCGATGGCATTTCTCATTGGGGAACCAACGAGATAATGAGTTTTTTTGATGATTTGGACATATTTGGTTGGTGTACCGAGAAGGTGATCATTTGTGGCTGTATTTTAAAAATCGGGCGAATTTGCAACAAGCAAAGACTTTAAGACGCAATAGCTATTCTGGGATAGAGGTTTGGGAAATAAATAGACATTAGCGAACATTTCACTTTATAATGTATAATAGGCCTTGTGAATATACTGTATTTAGCTTTAACGCTGTTATTAATAAAGCAACTATTTTCACATGCTTTGTATATGAAATGCGGTCACCGAAGAGATTTTGAGGATGATGCATAAGGCTTTATTATCAGCGCCAACGAAGTCACCCGATGCGAATTCATATCTGCTGTCATCTACGGCGTAGCATCCATCTTGTGAAAATTTATCTGCAATACGAAATCGCTGGGGATCATGGGAAAAGGCCGATTAAATTGGTTATGCAGGCTTCCTTGCAACGCAACCGCAAAAAACGACCCTGCGATGATGCATTGCACGAAGAAGTGATGTTCGGAATCGTGTGTTTTAGATTGTGGTATTGCTATTTTTTTATTGCTTCGCAGGTGGGGTCGTAACCCCAGTCCCGATTGGATCTGCGCCTCTTGAGGCATGGGACACAAGGTGTCTATTCTATTTTGTATCATATGCACTAATATAATGCACAGAGTGCACGGACACAGTCCGATCCATTTTTGGCTAATATCGATATTGATAGATAGTAAACTTATAGTAAACCCACAAAAATATCACGCATTTATATTAACATGCACATTCCGTAATTATAATCAATGATTTTCAGTGTTTATATGAGCATTCTAAATATAGAGATATGCTGTTTTCACGTCATATGGGTAATTAGTGTGAAGTGAAAATGTTTTTTACTAGACCTTGTATTATGATTGATGAGTCATAGGTAAGATGGTTCAACAAATAATGAAAATATGCCAGAAGGTTTCCAGAGACCGAAATCATACTACGGATATTTTTTGGGACAGCAATGTCACATTTTTTTCTGATATCTGGAAAACAAATCAAACAAACCAAAAACGTCAAGAATACTGCAACCTTGTTGATCCAACGATTTTTTTTCGCATTAGAAATTTATTTTCATAGAAAGTGCACTTCGTGCATTATATGTCTTCCATCCTATTTTTCGCAACGTAGAAACAGAAATCAGACAAATCATCACTCATAATGCGTTGTATCTCGAATCAAAGTTTTATTCACATCGGGTCTTAGGACCCGTATAACGTATTTTTTAACTTGGAATAAAAATTATATGCTAAATGTAATTCGAAATTCGCATCTTATATAAAACAGTTAACTTCAAACATGCAATCGGAGATTGACTTATTGAGATAACAAGTTGCTGAGCTTAGGACTGAAAATGCTTCACTCATGGGCGAAAATGCTGAGCTTTTGGTAAGGAAACAAGACTTATGGCCAGAATCGTGGAGTTAGAATAATCCGCAAAAGAAAATGCTGAGAATGCGAAGTTAAGAGATGCCGAGCTCAATGCCAGAATCGCGGAACTAGAATGGTCAGCAAAAAAAATGCTGAGCTTAGGACCAGAGTTGCGAAATTGGAACAGAAGCAGTTACAAAATGATATTTCAGTTCATCCAACTCTAAGCCTATATCCGAACCTCCAAAGATCGGGGTCACGACTCCAGGGATAGGAGGTCAATAAATTTGTGGATTCAAAAAATAAAGAAAATATTAGTAATGAGATAGAGAGAGAAACCGGGGAAAAAAAACTTCGAGATCCAAACTTATCTTTGGTTAATCAGTGTGAAGCATCTTGTCGGAGTAATAGTTCATCAATATCATCCAAATTATGTGACACTTCATGAGACACCATGTGTTCTAAGAAACCCATTAACATTACTATCAATCTGGAAAAAATTTACCAAAGGAACTACCTAAAGTTATGGCCAGTTCATCGTCTATCAATCAAGACCAAACCAGAGAAAACAAGCATATTTCGTCTCAAGTATTCTCTCTTTCACCTGTTATTTAAATACCATACAATCGGAAAATCGAACAGGGTTTGATTCAAGTAGTTCTGTTTATCCAAAAAGGAGTTCTCATCTTGTCAATAGTCTCGAGGCTCAAGAGAGTAATGTGATAGTAGGTAGTGATAAAAGTGGACGCGATTTGGCTCAATTATTTCTGATGCCGAAGTTGCAGAAGGCAAAACAATGAAAGCTAAGCAAAAAGAAGTTATACACCGGTATGCTCACAGAGAAACATTTCAGGATAAAGTCACAGAAATCCAATCCGAGACTGGTGTCGCTGAGAAGACCGCAAAAACTCCAAGTTTATAATATGATTAATGCTTCTCTACCCAAAGTTTCAGAAACGAATCTGTACAAGGCTCAAAGAGCTGTGACTGTTTATAAGCTGTTCGGAAAGACTATTGGTTCTACAACCAAGTAAGAGGGTAAGGGAATTGGTCGATAAAGTTTATGAAATTTCATATGGAGCAAGAAGCAAGGCTGTCTTTTAGACAGGATTTTGAAAATTGTGAGTTTTAGACAAGTTGTCTAAAAATATAAAGGAAGAAAGTAATACAAAATCTAAAGCATTC